ACTGGCAGTTAATTTTAGAACACAGCCATAATGTATTAAATAAATTTGTATCAGTAAAAACAAATAATTATTATTAATATTACAATCAAGGGAAAAAACATTTTTGTTACTGCATTTATTACATTTACATTAAAATAAACATAAAAACAGAAATAGAATATTACAATCTTTCAATTGAAAAAACGAAAATTTAAATATCTAAAAACAAAATACATAAAATTAGTTCTTTGTATCTGCAAAAAATATAACATTGTAATCTACAGCTAAGAAATCTATAATTAAGAAAATATATTTGTAGTAGACTAGATAAAGTCAAAACAAAAATAAAACAATAATACAATATAATATATTCTTTCAATTAAAAAGAAACCTACATATCTAAAAATCTTAGATACCTAAAAGCAAAATAAAATTAATTTGTTTTACTTGTGAAAAATAAAATATTATACGATGTATAGTTAAAATACATATAATTTTAGTAAACTTTAAAAAAAAATCAAAACGAAAATGAAACATATAATCCTTCTAGTAAAAAGAAAACAAATATTATCGCAATGAAATACTTTTTGCGAACAAAAAATGTAAACTTATAAATTATGATTAAGAAACATAATTTTATTAACTTTAGATGAAGTTAACCTGTTTCGTCTTTGCGTAAGTATTGTATTATACTTGACCAGTTTTAGAAAATGTTCGTTCACATGGAACAGATGTTGCTACTATACATAATCTTTTTGTGACTATTTGAAAAAGACGAAGGTACACCATTTTTCTTTCTTTTCACCATATTAATGGATCTTCTGTGCGACACAAAAGTGGCTCTTGGAGGTATTTGTCCATCTCGATAATTGCTGATGCCATAGGATTATTTGCACCGCAAATTCGTTTAACTTTCCTATCAAAATCCTCCCATAAACTTAAATTTGTCGGTTGAGACTCGATGAGTGTATTGTTATTATTAGTAGACTGAAGCTCATTCAACTTTACAGCACGAACTTTTAATTTTAGTGCTTCATAAGCGGAAGAAAATTTTGTTTCGTTAGAAAATCCATGGTTTTTAAATCTTGAGTCAAGAATAGTAGCTTGACACAACAATTCATTGTCTTCTGCATATTTGAAACGATGACTCAATAAGTCCTTCAAACTCTTCACCATTTGCATTACTTCGATTGATGTTGGTCCATCATTATAGTAATCATTAATTTTTTTATTCATGATATTAACGAGAGGTATAATTTTGGATATTGTAATGTTTTTTTCTGCACTCATTTCTATCGTAAAATCATTAAAAATCTTAAGTATTTCCACGCTCTTTTCGATAATGTTCCATTCTTGACTTGTTAACAATGGTACATCACATTGTAAAACTGCTATTGTGGAAACAACGGAATCTTTGATTTGTAGAATTCTATTTAGCATGTCGTATGTGGAATTCCATCGAGTTATGACATCCTGCTTGAGTTTCAATTTTGGTAACTTCATCTGTTCTTGCATTGATTGTAATTTTGAAAGAGCATAAGAACTTCGTTCGAAGTATTCAACTATAGATTTAACTTTTACTGTTACATTTGAAATCTCTTTCAAACTCTGCTGTACTACAAGATTTAACGAGTGTACGAAACATGGTAAATGGCGCCAATTACAAAGTCGAATAGCGGCAACTTCGTTAGCTGCATTATCAGTAACACAACAAATGATTTTATCTTCTAAATTAAAATTTTGTACACAATCTTTTAAACACCTTGATATATTTTCTGCTGTGTGCCTACTGTGAAATGATAAACATTCTAATAATATTGACTTCAATTGAAATT